GCCGCTGTCCGTTCTCGCGCTCTGCGCCTGCGCGCGCCGCGCCCCTCCCCTCGACCCCGCCGCGCGCGCGCGCTCCCGCGCTCACTCACAATCGCACCGCGGGGTGGTTCCCGTGCCTCCCTCAGTACGTGGGCGGGAGACACGCGCCTCCCGCGGCCCACGCCGCCGGGCTCAGGCAGCTATGGAGACGCATACAACGCCGACACCTGCACGCGCACTGTGACACGCGCCATTCTGACACACGTGTGCCCTCACACTCCTCAAACACCGGGAGCCACAGGCGCTCACACCCACACTCACCTGCTGGGACCACGTGGGAGAGTTGGAGGGGCTGATCCTCACTCGGTGCAACCGCAGTAGCAATGATGCCAGAATTTTTTTTAACTCCCTCACTGACTGGACTAGACTGTCAACTCCATGGCGTCAGGGACGAAGTCTGTGATGGCTCAGCAATGCCTAGCACAGAACAGGCGCTCCATAAGCCTCTGTTGAATAAGTGAGTGGATGCATAAATAAATGAATTGAAAATGTTCACTATTTTTAATTTTAAATTTTCGCTCCTTGGTTTAAAGAATTTGTTCAAAGAATTTTACTGTAGTATGAAGTTAAATGGTATTTGTTTCTTTTGGTTCAAGTTTCAAAACAGAGATTAGTGTATACACCCCCTTCCCAAGGGTCCCACTGACCAGCGTTCTTACCTTAATTTAAATGTCAACGTATCTTTTAGGGCAGAAACTTCCCCACTTCCCAAAACAAAGCCTGAAGCACGTCGTGTGTGCACAGAACAAAACAAAGATGTTGCTAGTCTTCTGAGCTTCCGCAGGGATTCATTCCCCAGTTTTTCTAGGACCTCACGGAATCTCCACAAATCCCTCACCCCCACCTGCCCCCCTCTCCCCAGAAAAAAACAAACAAAAAACCAAAACCCTACACTGTTCCTTGCTGTGTCTTTGGTTAGTTCCTGGAGAGCCAGTCGCTACTAGAAACCAGTCTGGCCTTTGATGTTGGCAGCGACTTCTGTACACAGAAGATACACACCCAGTAGGTAAAATGTTGCAACTATACTGGATCAAACTGAAATTGTGAAACCTCAACTTTTGCATGTTACAAGAGAAATTAATGTACTTTAATCTAAATTTCTGTGTTGGGGACCCTCCTTGGAAATTCAAGTTTCTGTCCTCCTTATTTTAAATGGTAAACCTCCAATTCCTCACAACCTTTGTATCTTGCTAAAATTGTAAAAGTAAGCTCTACATTTAGCAAATGTAATTCCTGGAGGCATCAGTCTATCAGATTCAGAGGAACTTCCCTTCCACCAGTTTGATAGCTCTATAGAAATGAAGCTTTAAAAATTTCTGGGAAGTGGGTTCATAACTCTCCATAGACAGCCTTTCATCCTGGTGCCTTAGACTACTTTAGAATAATCAAGCCTGCTACATCCTAGAGAGGCAGTTTTATGAGTCTCTTTATATTTATAGCCTGGTAAGTAAGAAATTACAGAGGCCACATGACTAATGACTAGAATAGAAAACTGCCCAAGATAGCAAAGCCTTATTCCTTGGTTTCCTCCCCATTTTAACAACTTACTACTGACTCAGGCAAGAAAATGTAAGGCCAGAAACAGATTACAAAGAAGTCAAAATCTACATAACCTTAAATTCTAATTGGATTTATTTATTCTTTTAGGGTGAATTGCAGAATCTTGAAAATACTCCTTTAGTATTGTTACCGGATTTGTGTGTTTTGTTTAAATGGAGGAAGAGGTTACCTCAGTTCTCACATTTCCTTTTTTAAAGGGGAAAAAAAATGGCTTCAAAGTCCTATAACCCTCACTAATAAGTACTCCAGACTTGCAAAAGCAGGAAAAAGTCACATGTCTTTTTCACCTTTGAATTTTACAGCAGCTGCCTATAAATGGTAAAGTTCAAAACAAGCAAAGAAAATTACTCTGGTAATGAAAGGGTTACTGCTATTATATTGCTGCTAATCCAGTTTCGGGAAAGCTCCACATTGCCAGATACAGGTAACCGAATCAAACTAAAAAGACAAAAAGCGGAGAGAAAAACTGCGGGTGGGGCTGTAGAGAAGATTGCTCAAATAAAAAGCAGCCACAGTGTAGAAAGTACTTTCTAGAGGCACCCAAACTCACCCAAAACAGCAAAGGTCAGGAGCAAAACTTACTGTTAAGTACCTGGAGCCAGGCTTAAGAAAATGCTCAAATGCCACAACCTCGCCGTGAAAGGAATTAGCTTCAGGGCCAGAAGTAAAGAACTGGAATGTTTATGACTGTGGAATGGGAGACCATTCAGGATTCCAAAGGTTATCTTCCTGTTCACTAAATGTATCCAACATTGAGGAGGAAGTCAGCATAAAGTTTGGAAAAATGCATGTTTGTTACAGCCCTAGCCGTTCCAAAAGACTAATCCCTGAATGCCTTATGAAACCAACTATTGCTAATAATCCCATAGAAATTGTCCTCTGTTGCAAATCTGCAGATAATTGACAGCCAATTCACTACGCCTTCTGGATCCAGAGATAAGAGCTCATATAACAGACTTCATTTAATGGGGCCCAAATCCAAAAAACTCAGATAGCCAACACTGGAAATATGGGGGAAAGGAGACTTATCATGTATTCATTTATTCACACACTTTCTTCCTACGGGCACTTTGAGGTTTTCTCTATGTAATTCCAAAATTAGTTAACTTTCTTGAATAGAAGAGT